GGGAGGGGAGGGCCGCCCTGCCAGCCAGGGGAAAAGGCGGACGGATTCACAAGAGAGGGAGGCCTTCGACCAAGGCCTTGGGGGGACCAGTTTGGCAATCGAGGAAGCCGGGCCAAAGGAAACCGGAGGAAGGAAGAAGGTCTGGCCAAGCGCCCCGGGCTTGAAAGAGGGGTGACGGCGGCCGCGGACTGCCACACCAGAAAGTCGGACAGCCGCTTCTCGCCTGCAGGAGGGCCGTAGACGCTTCGTGGAAGGGCCTCGGAGGGTGCCGCATAGTCTCCGGTGGCCGCGTCTCGCCAGAAGTGCGCAGCAGCAGGTCCACCGGCGGCGTGCGGGGGTCGTACGTCCGAAACGCCTCCTCGAGAGACCTGGCGGTGAGCTCCGACGGGCAGAGGGTGCGGGCGGCGGCGGCCTCTGCCAGGGAGGAGACGGCGGATGCGACCTCCTCGCGCGAAGTGTACGCGAAGCAGACGGTGAGGACGGCGCGCTCGTGCGCCGAGGTGAGGCGCGTGACGGCGTCGATCTCGGCGCGGACGTCGGCGGGCACCCTCGCCAGGTTCCCCACCACGCGCACGCGCACGCGCTGGGTCATGATCAGTGAGTCCTCGCGCCGCATCGAGCGGAGCTTCTCTCCCATCAGCGCCATGAGCGTGTCGACCTCCTCGGCCGAGCGCTTGAAGTTCTCGAGCGAGAAGGCGTAGCACGTCACCGCCGCCACGCCCAGCTCGGCGCACCACCGCAGGCTCTCCTCGAGCTTTGCGTACCCTCTCCGGTGGCCCTCGGCGACCGGCAGGCCGCGGTTGCGGGCCCAGCGGCGGTTGCCGTCCATGATGAAGGCGACGTGGCGCGGCAGCGGGCCGGCGGAGACCACGCTGCACGCCGCGCGCTGCCACCAAGCGAGGCCAGCGTCGCTGCTCGCCGCCTGCGGCATGTATGTGGCTTCGCGGTAAGATGCGCTGGCGGGGTTCGGACTTTTTGGTATGGTATGGTACATTGAGCAGACCCGCCTTCCGCGAGGAAAGACCCGCCTTCAGGCAGGGACAATACCCCACCCCCCCCCCCCCCCTCGCCCCACCGCCGGCCGCCTTACTGCTAGGCTCCACGAGGAGGCTAGACACCGACACTTAGGACACGCACACTTAGATACGCGCGGGTGGCCGCCGTCTTCCACGGTGCTAGTCTAGAAGTAGAGCGGCGGCAAAGTTGGCAATCGCCTGGCGAGCGGCGGACGCGGCACCCGCGCCGGTCGCCGCACCCGCACCAGCAGGCGCCGCGCGGGCGGCTAAAGTACCATACCCCCCACACCCCTGTCGAGGCCTAGCCTTGGGCGGTCAGGACCATACCCCCCCACCCTTTGGGCGCCGAGGCCACCATACCATACCCCGGAAAAAGTTGGAACCCTGACACAGCGAACACAAGAAGAAAATCGCGTCTCTTTGCCTCTGCGCGAGCGCACACCCCCCAGGGCTAGGGCTCTCTTGCCCGCAACACCCGATCCCGATGATCCGGCCCTGGGTGTGCGCGGTTGATGACTGCACTCCAAGTGCTCCAAGTGCGTGGTGCATGCCTGTTGTATTGTCCAGTCCGAGCCTGACTGTTCTTCACCTTCCTACCTACCTACCCACCGGTATTGTCAGGAGCGAGAACCTTCCCCTTCCCCCTCATACAAGACCTCAAGGACGAGGACACACACAGGACGCACCTCTAGCGAGGCCCGCATAGTGTTTGGGAGACTCCTGCCGCCGCCCCTGCCACCCCTGTCAGTGTGCCTGTGGTAGCGAGAGACTGCCAGTGAGAAGCTGGAGGCAGGTCGCTAGAGCCTAGACTGAGATGAGACCGCCAGTGGAGTCGGGAGTCCACCGTGGTCCGTGCACCGCGCTGCGAGCCTCTGTCGTGTCCCTTGTCAGGAGCAGGTAGCAGGAGAGCTCTGAGGGAGGGTGTAGAGGATGTAGAGTGTATAGAGCGCTGTAGCGCTGTAGAGATGTAGAGCGCTCTGGAGCGCTGTAGAGCTGTAGAGCTCTTTCCCCCGCGTGACGAAGCGCCTACGTTGTAGAGCGATGTAGAGCGCGATTTTGTTGTAGAGTTTGTTGTAGAGGCTCTACAGCCAAACCGCCGGGGAAGGCAGTGACTCAAAGAGGTCGAGTCGCACTAATGGGGTGTCTCCGAGCTTACTGGAGCTCTGATGGACGGCCCTGACTATCCCTGGCACACAGAGAGTCACTCTGACGGCACACAACACCCTATAACTGCGTCATGACCAGCCTGCCATGCGTCGCCGGTGCCGCATTCGTCGCAGTGCTCCTTTAGCAGGCGGTGGACTGTCGGCTGCGAGGACAGTCGCATTTGCGCGAGGCGAGGCGAGCATTCAGACGCGTTGCATGCCCCATGCCTCGCGCCAGCGCGTGCGGGAGCTCCTGGCTGAGCGTTGAGTCCATAGATGGTGTCGAGGGGTGTCGAGGGGTGTCGAGTTTGTCGAGTTGGCACGGGGTGTCGAGGTGTCGAGTTGGTGTCGAGGTTTGGTGTCGAGGTGTCGAGGCCAGGGCTCCGCTCAGGCCGCCACTCGAGGCGTTGCCAACGCCCGCGTCAAGGAGGTCTTGATTGAGGAGGGGCGTCCAGAGCTTGACTTCATTCACTTCATCGCATCCTCCCGGCCCTGCATGGGGTTCTGCGAGGTCAGTCTTGTACTCCTCATTGTACTGCCGGGTGAGCTCCGGTTTCTCCTGGTCACCGTGCACGACCGGCGCGTTGGCCGGGGCGCGCATTGCGTCCGCCCAGCGAGGCGGCGAGGACGCCGTCGTGGGGCCGCCGGTGGTGGGCCTTGTTGTAAAGGTAGTCGCCGAAGAAATCGACTGGCATGCCCCGCTCGAGCGCGACCCCGCGAAGGGTGGGACGCGCCGCGGAGCTGAGGGCGGGGTAGATAGAGGATGTGATCTGTGATCTGTGAGGGTCCGCCCGCAGGCCGGCATTTTGTATACCGAGGCGGTGCCCGGTGCCGAACCTGTCGGACCTTAAGACAGCGTTGTAGATCCCTGGGCGAGGGTGATGGCGTCCCCGTGGAGGGGCTGTCTGGGGGGGTGCCCTCCCACCGTCACCTCACCAGCGTCCCGGTGAGTACGGCGATCAGAGCTCCCCCGGTCGTCGCGCTAAACCGTAACCCGCCGAGGTGGGCCGGATCCACGCGTTGCCAGAGGAGGTAGAGTGTAGAGCGCTGTAGAGCTGTAGAGATGTAGAGCGCTCTGGAGCGCTTAGCTTGGCCAGCACACATGTTTCCGGAAACCAAGAAGGAAACGAGAGGGTCCCCAGCACTTGTCGTTTCCGGAAATTTCCAGGGAAATCAGAGGGTGTTTGGAGCTCCATTCTGGCAACTCTCGAGTTTCCCTGCCTGAGTCTGAGAGCTGGTCTGGGGCAAAATCTGAGGCGAAACCATTTTTTTTGCCGATTTGGCTGATTGTCAATCAATGTAACTGATTGTGGGCCCAAACCAGCTGATTTCCACGGAGTTTCCTCGGGAAACTAGAGAGGAAACGAGAGGGTGCTGTAGAGAAACACGGAAAGGAGACGGGGTGAGCGAGGAAACACGTGTGCATCTAACTCCCCCCCCCGAAACACGTTTAGTGAGAATGCGCAACAAGCTTGAGAAGCCTGTCTCATTCGCCGCTCTCTCTTTGACGCACTGCATCGCGCAATGGGCTCGCGGCAGAAGCGACGCTTCGAGGTCGAGCCGCTCGCCAGCCCGGTGGGCGGGCGCGGCGATGACTCAGACGACGGATGGTGCACCACGCCAGGGGGAAGTGTAGCTGCGACCCCGCGGCTCAACGCGTGCGACTCGCCCCGCTCCTCCGCGTGCGGCTCCTCGGCCTCCGCGGAAAGCCCGTGGTTCCGCATGGAGGCGCGGCACACCGACCTGCCCGCCTTTGGCTGGAATCGTCAGCACAGCCAGCCAATGTGCCTCTCGGAGCTCTCCTCCTCCCTCGACACCGCCGCGGCCGAGCCACGCGCCAGCGCCATGTCCGCCTCGTCAGCCTCCTCCTCCTCCTCCGCGTCCTCGCGGCGGCCGTTCGCCTCGCCGGCGGCGCCCAAGCTCCCCTCGAGGCCCGCCCCGCGCGGCGTGCACGCCGTCCCCGCGTGGTGTGGCGGCGCCGCCCCCGACGCCGCGCCGCGCAAGCCAGCTTTCCGGCGCGTCGGCGCTGCTTGGACGCCGCCGGCGAG